CAGTTATCTGGAACCTCAGTACTTCAATGTACACCTTCAGCTAAGTATGAAAGTTGTAAATTATGGTAGTAAACAACTATGACCTGCTGACAGAAGTGATATTTAGGTATGTATGATATTACAGGTGGAGCAGATCTCCCAGCTGGCTACCTTCGCAGAGAATCTGTTAGATTACCATAGACAGTGCACTGAGATCTTAGAGGCCCTGGCTGGTACACTTCATGATAAGTAAGAACAGTGGTGATTTCTTGACTGTTGCACAACAGATAAGCTTTTGATCATTTTAGTTTAGTTTGCTTTTACTTTTGACTTGTTCTGTTATATCACAGAATAGATATACCTACAAACTTTCATTAAGTTCAAGCTCGTTTGAAATACACCCTTCTGGTTTTATTATGATTCCACATTACATTTTGTAAGTTTTTGATAAACAAATTGCCTACAAATAGATATGCCTACAAACTTTCATTAAGTTCAAACTCATTAGAAATACACCCTTCTGGTTTTATTATGATTCCACATTACATTTTGTAAGTTTTTGATAATCAAATTGCCTACAAATCACCTTTGCAGGAAGAATGAAGCCGCAAGTCTTCCCCGTGCAGAGTTTGTGCCAAAGACTCTTTCGGACCTTGGCGTGATAGATAGCCTGAATGGTGGCCTTCCTACAACCAACATCACAGGTGAGACTTGGGGAGGATGAGGTAGTATGGCCCTTTGACACAACTTCTAACTCTAGGTAATGTCAGAACTTTGAGTTTGTGCCTTGCTCGCGTGGCAAGTTGTTGTATGGTTGGTGCAGAGATGGTGTTTCATGCTCATAGTATGTTTTCTGAGAGAATTGCACAGTATCTGAAAAAAAGAAAAAAACGTGTGATTTGTTCCATATATCTTTCAGTCAGATTGAACTCTTGTCATGAAGATTGAATTATGGCACAAAAGTAGAGAATTTAGATATATGTCCTCTACAACAACCATACAACTTTTATTTTATTTTTTCTATAGTTTGTATTTTGTTGTACTATATCTATCTACAGTGAATGGTATTATTTCCCTCTTTGGAACTGAATATTTATATACTAAATAATGTGTGGCTATGACGGCTCAGGAAGAAAGTACCAACCCATGTTTCGAGCACACTGTCAGAAGACGCCACAGACTTTGCCTTACTAAGAACATTTTTGATTGTGAAAGTTTTAATTCTTCTGACCTTTTGAAAGCTTTGAAGAGATATTAAGCTAACGACCTCAGATACAAATGGTTGTTGATTTGCTCTCACGTTCACTCTGATAACCCAATGACTCTCTTGGTTTTTATTCCTCAAGTCGAGTACCACACAACTGGTGGGTGTTCTTTTGCACTTCATTGCATCTTTCCAGGCATCTATACTCTTTTTTCTGTTTTCAGTAAAGTACTTTTTGTATATGAATCACAGATATTCATTTCCTGTTGCAGTGCAGCTTCATGACCAAGGCATGAGCTATTGTTCCTTTTAGAGAGAGGAAGTTGTTATAACTTCTCTAGTCATTTTTTCTAAAATACATCTTGGCCATTATTTAGTTTAACATCTGTTGAATTCATATGCCTTTTCTTCCCAAAGGATTCTTAGTCATTTTCTCCCCATTGCCAGTAAGAATAGTCGACTAAGAAGAGTTGAACTTCTAGTTCTAATGTATTATCTCCAGAATTATCAAAGAAAATCAGAACCCAAACTGGAAACAAGGAGGAGGTGCAACTTTAGGCATGACAGTTCAGCATCTGAAGTACATAGAATTATTATTAGAGAGATTTTCCATAGGATAGCATTATGGCAAAATACATTCCTAAGATAGAATATAGAAAATTTACAGTAAGCTGAGATATTTACTTTTTCTCAAGAGGGCCATTGTAGAGTGTGAAAAGAGGAAGCACTGCCAATATGTTGATTTTTACGTAAATCCCATAAGTACTGTTTTAGTGCAGCTGAACTAATGGGAAAGAAGACAAAGCAAACTTTTCTGCAGATGTTTCTCAGCTTTGATGCAACTATTGTTATACAGTTTAACTTTAATATTAACCCATTTCCACCGGTATATTTTGAAGCCGAAAATAAAAGTTTCCGGACAACTACAAAATCAGCTCGCGGGGCTGGCCCGGATTCTGCCCATGTGCTAGCCACGGCCCACTGCTGCATCGGAGCATGAGCCCCGATGCAGAGTTACACTGGCGGGATGCCCGGCAATTTTTTTTATTTATTTATTTTATTTTAATATTTTATTTATTTATTATTTTTTTTATTATTATTATTTTTTTATGGGTGTCTCATATGTGGGATACCTGTCATTACTGGGTTAAAAAAAAATTGGGTTTTTAGATGTATCTACCTTAGAAATTTTATGCCATATAATGCTGTTTCTTTTCATACTGCACCTTCTCCATTTTTAGTGAACAAGTGATTAGTCAGAAAGTTCAGGTTTTAGTTTACTTCCAAGAATATGTAACATTTGTGATGTGTCTACAT